TGACAAGTTTTCTTCTTCTCATGAATCCCATTTGAATGCTATGGGCCTGTGCTTTAGAGCAATTTTGTGACAATTTGCAAAGCTAAACAATCCGTATAATATGGGGTGGGAATTGTTCTGTGATGATGCTCTGGCACTGAAAATGTTACACTTTTGTCACTGCATTGTTTATTGAGCTGTTACATTTTGCTTTTCAGCAGAACTAGCTGAAAATTTGTGTAGCCCTGTTCTCAAAGTTAGCTTTGGTACTTGCTTGTGGATTGAGGCACCATACTCCACTGCATGTGAGGTTTTTTGAGGTTTTGGTTTTTTTTATTTTGGATTCTTCAGAGCCCAATTTTAATACTTGTAATAGTTGTAATCATCTTGCTCTCCTTTTTAGGAACTTCTCTGGTCTTCACACGCTAAGCTGTCCTGTGGAGAATCTATTCTCAGGTGCTCTTGTATAATGGAATATAAATATTTAAAGAGTATCTGTTGTCTCTGCTGTGGAAGAAATCTGACCTGTTTCTGACATTGAATGATGGCAGATCCACACAAAGGCATCCCTGAATGCAGCAGCTTCATAAGATCAGGGGGAGTTTTCAGTTCCTACCTATATAAATTATCTAAACCATCATAGTTTGTTAGGGACAAAAATGTGTTTGTTAGGGATAGTTCCTCAATTTTTTTCCACTTTTATTGGTCTAAATTGGGAAGATGACAACTTTTCAAAGTTATCATATTTAATTCACTTTTCTACATCATTTGAAATTACCTTAGTTTGAGGTTACTTATTTAAAATATGAAAGGAATTTTTTTTTTAAGAAAAGGAGTTTTGAGAAACAAGCTTTAGGAAACTTGCTGTGGTAATTCAAAGTGTCACTACTCTCAGTTAATCTGCTCATAGAGGCAAGTTAGCAGTAGGGAATATCTGTCTACATCTCAGCTGCTCTGATATGAATCCAGCTGGGGTTTTTTTTTAGCTTAAGCTGCTGATCAAAATATGAGCTAAGATGATATGAGCCTATAAGCTGAGGTGATAGCTTCCCCGAATAAGAACAGTTGATGGCTTGGGCTCCATTTCTGGAGGTGGTCACTCAGGACAGGGCAAGTGGCACGTTGGACTGCTGGGTGCCAAGACCCACTTGGGTTGAGTCACTGCCGCACTCATTCGGTTCCTCATGAGGCTCATCCTCCTTTGTTCAAGTGGTTCTTGCTGTACTGTTCCTGTAACATACAACTCAAATCATGGGTTATTTTCCCCCAAGTTTAAATCTCCTTGAGATACACACTGGATTTCCCCATCC